CCAGACGTATACACACGCCCGAGCCCCTCCTCCCTCGCTCTTCCCCCCCTCTTCCCCCTCCCTCTCCACAAGACCTGCCTGGAAACTCCTAGGCCCGCCCCCTCCCCATCTCCCCACATACACCCCTAACCCGTACTCCGGGGACCCTCCCCACCCCATCCCACAGACATACACACACACCCGTCTCACTTACCCCAGCGACGCCCACGCGTTCCTCAGCGCATCGCCGTCCTCCGCCCCCGCCCCATCATCCAGCACCGCCGCCGCACACACCGCCCGGACCATCTTGACCAGCAGCGCCGGCTTCCAACCCGTGGGCCCCACTCCGCCCCGCACCCCCCCGCCACCACCACCGCCAACGACAACAGCACCGGACTCCCCCGGCCGGCCGCTGCGACCGCCCAGTAGCTTACACAGCATCTCCACTACCACCTCAAAACACATGGGGGGGGAGGTGCCGGGGACTCGGCGGCCGTACCGGGCGGCCAGGATACGAGCTAGGCGGAGGAGAGAGGCCTGCGGGGGAGGGCGGGAAGAGAGAAAAGTCGCATCTGACAGATAAGCTTCGGCAATTAGATCGTCAGTTTTGCCGAAATAGGCTTTAGTCATCCTCCAGTTATCATTAGCACTATACTCGCTTTTCAATTCTTCAGGAGTTACAAAATAACGATTGCGGAAATCCTTTGGCAAATTTGCTACTACCAGCATAAGCTGGTTTTTATGCCATGACCGATAGCAGGCAGGCTAGCAGAACATACAGATTGGCAGAGAGGGGGGACTGGGGGCGGGGGGAGATCGGTTGAAAAGGGGAGTGAAAGGGGGAGAAGATGGAGTCGGGAGAAAAGAAAATGGGAACCACACATGTATGCATGTATGTATGCATGTATGTATGTATGTATGTATGTATGTATGTATGTATGTATGTATGTATGTATGTATGTATGTATGTATGTATGTACGTACCTGCTCAAGTATGGTGTCACCTTCGCCCATCCCCAACGACGAAGCCGCCGTCTTAATGGCCTCCACAAGTGCACCCGGTCTCGACACCTCAACCACCTCGTACGACCGAAGGTTGATCTCCACACTCACGCGCTCAGATAAGGCCCGCAGGTACTGCATCCAGTCCCGTTGTACGAGTTTTTGGGATGTCGCCGTCAAAGCGGTATGTTGGCTGGTGGACGGGGCGGAGCCGCCGCCGTTGGGGCCCCCGCCCCCGTCGGCAAAGCTGACGAGGCTGCGGCCCGTGTTGGCGGCGGTGGGTCCTAGGCCGCCCCCCCGTCCCCCGCCGCCGGTGGTGTGGGTTTCGAACGTCCGGTCCGCGGTGTTTGCCTCGGGCGGCATGGCGCTCAGGAGGGCCCGGGTGTTGGTGATGGCCAGTCTGGAAGGCGGGGATAATGGTGTGGGGGGGGAGCTAAGTGTGTCTGGGTTCTGGGGGGGAATACATGCAGAAAGCGAGGATACAACTGCCAACGTCCAAGCGGGGGGAGGGGAAAGCTGGCTCGGGTATGTGGGGGAGGAGGGGGAGAAGGCAGGAGTTAATGTGAGGCGGTGGATATCTGACGGTGGTGTGGCGGTTGCCGAAGGACTAAAAACCTCCTATGCACTTTTATAACGTTCTAGACCCATTAAGTGAAACGCTCCGAAACGCAATACGGAATACGCATGAGGTCACACCCTCCGCCTCTCCTTGTTTTTGTGCGCGGAGCCCCGGCCCTCCTCCTCTTACTTGATTTCCGCCTTCACCGCCTGACTGTTCGCCACATCCTTGAGCCGCTTGAGGGCGTCGAAGAGGTCCATGAGGTTGTTGAACAGGTCTGAAGGGGTTGTGGGGGTAGAGGGGGGAGGGAAGAGGCGCAATTCGGGGGCCGATAACCCACCACCACCATGAGATACACCCCCGAGCACTGTCTGCCCACCCGAGCACCACCACCATCGCTGTTAGTTATGATCATTTGGGCCCACCTTGAAGGGGCGACCACCACCTTCCCCATCTCCATGTCTTTCACTCCTTCCCCCCCCACCCTCCCACCCCTCACTTACCCTCCAGCAGCACAATGGGTGTTGTATGCAGTTTGGGCAGGTGGCTGTGCCAGTGGTGCTCAAAGTAGTCCTTCAGTGCGGGGAACACCGAGGTCACCAGGAAGAAGGTGGCGCTGTCCGCGTTGGCCAGGGCGTCGGAGGGGTCGGCCAGAGCGCGTTTCACCTCCTCAAGGACAGCCTGAGGAGCAGGAGCAGGGAACAGGGGGAGAAGGGGGAGGGAGGGAGATGGGCATGAATAGAGATTTAAAGGTGGTGATGCGATGTTGTTCCATGCGCTGTTGTCGGGTCATTCATCGGTCCCTCCACCATAACCATAACAAGACACAAGACGCACCCATACGCACATCCCCTCCCCCCCCCTTCTCCCCCTGTTCCCTGCTCCTGCTCCTCAGGCTGTCCTTGAGGCGGTGAAACGCGCTCTGGCCGACCCCTCCGACGCCCTGGCCAACGC